CGTCATCCACTCCGCTGTAGCAGGACCACAAACACAGCACCCCGAGGCTCTGGTGTTAAACTCTGGGGACTTTAATCACGTGACTATGGACACAACACTACCTGCTCTCTTCTAGTATGTGGACTGTTACACCAGGGGAAATAAGACTATTGACCTACTGTATGCAAACGTTAAGGACGCATACAGCGCCACCCCTCTGCCTGCACTGGGGAAAGCTGATCACAACCTGATTCTGCTTCAGCCTCACTACAAACCAAGAGTGAGGAGACAACCCACAACAATGCGCTCATTCAGGAAGTGGTCTTTTGATGCAGAGCAGGCTCTAAGAGACTGCTTTGGTAGTACGGACTGGGATGTACTGCAGGGTTCGCACTGTGAGGACACAGAAGAGGCTGTTGACTGTACTACTGACTGCATCAACTTCTGTATGGATGTTGTTGTTCCTGTAAGAACTGTGCGCTGCTATTCAAACAACAAGCCCTGGATTACAAGTCACGTCAAGGGCCTTCTTAACCAGAAGAAGAGGGCCTTTAAAGACGGAGCTTAGGCGCGTACAGGGGGGGACTCAGAGTCCAGCTCAGGTAAGCGAAGGAGCAGTACAGAAGGAAGCTGGAGCAGAAACTGCAGAACAACAGCATGAAGGAGGTGTGGGATGGGATGAAGATGGTTTGACCACCCCATGCCATTCACATCTCAGTTCACCATACCCCCTTCTGCTGCTGTCTCTCTCTCACTCCCCTCAGGAGCCACAGAGGAGCTGGTTGTCCCGCCCACTATTACGGCAGCCCAGGTGTGTGGAGAGCTGAGGAGGCTTCGTCCCAGCAAAGCAGCAGATCCAGATGGAGTATCCCCTCGACTTCTGAAAGCCTGTGCGTTGGAGCTGGGACTCCGCCTACAGCACATTTTCAACCTGAGCCCTGAACAGGGGATGGTCCCTAGACAGTGGAAGACATCATGCATCATCCCAATCCCCAAGAGACCACATCCTGGTGAGCTAAATGACTTCAGACCGGTTGCCCTGACATCACATGTGATGAAGACCATGGAACAGCTGCCGCTACCTGAGGCCACAGGTCCGCCACGCCCTTGACCCACTGCAGTTTGCGTACCAGGAGAAGGTGGGAGTAGAGGATGCCATTGTGTACTTGGTGCACAGATTCCTTTCTCACCTGGACAGGGGAAACGGTGCTGTGAGAATTACATTTCTGGACTTCAATACCATCCAGCCTGCAATACAAACTAGCTGACATGGGAGTAGACTCACATCTGGTGGCATGGATAATGGACTACCTAACAGACAGACCCCAGTATGTGCGACTGAGGGACTGCAGGTCTGACACTGTGGTCAGTAGCACAGGAGCGCCACAAGGGACCCTGCTCTCTCCGGTCCTGTTCACCCTGTACACGTCAGACTTCAAATACAACTCGGAGTCCTGTCACGTGCAAAGGTTCGCCGACGACTTTGTCACATGGTGTGACTCCAACCACCTGTGCCTCAACACCACCAAGACCAAGGAGATGGTGGTGGACCTCAGAAGGCCCAGGGCTCACCCGGAACCTGTGACCCTTAACGGTGACCGTGTGGAGTTGGTACAGACTTACAAATACCTGGGAGTACACCTGGATGATAGGCTGGACTGGACTGCCAACACAGATGCCCTGTGCAGAAGACGTCAGAGCCGGTTATACTCCCTCAGAAGGCTGGCGTCCTTCAACATCTGCAAAAAACTGCTGCAGGTGTTCTATCAGACTGTTGTGGCAAGCGCCCTCTTCTATGCAGTAGTGTGCTGGGGAGGCAGCATTAAGAAGAAGGACGCCTCCCGTCTGGACAAACTAGTGCGGAAGGCGGGACAGACTGACATCTGTGGCAGAGCGACGGCGCTGAACAGGCTCCTGTCAATCATGGACAATCCACTGCATCCACTGCACAGCACCATCTACAGGCAGAGGAGCAGCTTCAGCGACAGGCTGCTGTCACAGTCCTGCTCCACTGAAAGACTGAGGAGATCGTTCCTCCCCCACGCCATGAGGCTCTTCAACTCCACCCAGGGGAGGAAAACCGAAAAGCTCTAAACTCCAATATGTCTGCCCTGTATCAAACTATACCACCTGATGCAGTGCACCCTGCATTATGTGACCACCTACTTATGCACTTTAGGCCTATCAAACACTGGATTTGACCATGCCCCTTAGGACACTAACCCAATGCTCGTTATTTTGCTATTTATTCTATTTTATTTTATTAGTTCTTTTGCATTTGACCTCCTGTCTGTGGATACTGCTGGAAACTGTGAATTTCCCCTTGGGGATGAATAAAGTATCTATCTATCTATCATCTATCTGTATACCAAATATAACCATAATCTAATGTAAACCTTTTAACTGTAGTAATGGGCCTGTTTTTACTGTAGACATTTTGACATGTCACAACAGGAAAAGCAGAGGTGTAAATAATATTACATTCCTGCCCCACTTTTCAATATTTATGTCATCAGGTAAAAACATTAAACATGTTCTTGCATAATATTAATGACAAGTGTGCTGGTTCAAAACCAGTAATATCTGAAGGAACTGGAAATTCTGAGAATGTTATGACCAGTAGGCTTTTTATAGACAATATAGCAATATAAGCTGGCGTAAACAAGCTGCCATTACTGCAGTGGCATCTCACTTGACTCATCTTTCATAATGCTATTACGTGTATGCAAAGGGTTCACTTTCTTCAGCCCTTTTGTTCAGCTTTAACAACAAAACACAACCAAAGGAGATAGGTAGAAGCTGCTTAAAAAAGGATCATCAAAATATATATGTGAGCCCTTACTGTCAATCTTACCTGCTCATTTCCAAAACTACACTTATTTGGCAGTGTTGTTATTGGCTGCTTAACTAAAAACTGCACCAAGAAATCCCAGATATTCATCTATCTCCATAAAATGCTGATGAAGCAACTCTCTTTAAAGGGTTCCTGGCTGCAAAGAATCTGACTTATAACCACTTTTGTTTATGTTGGTGTTTATGTATTTCACTTGCTTACAAGGCAATAAATCATGGAGAGAACATTTATTGGCAGATAATCATATCCTAGCATATCCCAGTGTGAAAACTAATGCTGGCTAGGGCTTAGTTGCTGCAAGGAACTTGGATCCTGTGGAGGTCAGGCAAAAGTAGTAAAGTTAATGTAATTTCCCCCCAAAGATTGTGTCATAACCAATTAAAAAAAAGGAATATCTGTGTAAAGACTACACTTATTGTCAGATTATTGTTGTTGTGGGCACAATGTGGCAGAGGTGGTGGTAGATTGTTGATTGTGAACAGTCAGGTTTTTTCCCTGTTTTCAAAAGGCAGTAAAGGTAAAATCGGCTTGTCTGTGCCACTGGAGTAAAATATTAAAACACATATTCTTCAGCTTTGAACCTGAAGATTAAACTTAAACTCCTTGTCTTACGTGTAAGGAAAGGAAAAAATAAATCCTATGAACATGGTGCAGTACTAACCTGAACTTTGTAAAAGTGTCCTGTAAAGTCAACTTTTAAATTTTTTTCTAAAATGTATGTATTAAAATATGTCAGCTGAGAATTTCAGCCAGTACTCTGTGTTTTAAAGCTTCTGCCCAAAACATGCCAAGTATTCAATGTTTCATCAGGGGTGTATACTTGTCAAGGCCTCTGCAGCAAAGACTAGGGAAAATTATTCAGACTTTATTTCAGGTTTTACAGACTTTTTATTTATCTGTCGTCATGGTGGAATTCTAATCAAAACTTTAGATTGGAAAATATACCTGTAGCTGCCGGCAACAGCATACAGAGCTAACTGGTTTAAACCCGGCCCATCAGTAAACAATTGGCAGTTGTAAAGGGTCACTATTTTACAACTAATCATGGTCTGACAACATCCTCCATCATGATCTCATTATAGGGGCAACTTAAAGTTTGTTGCCCACGCTGCACAGTGAGCAACTCACTGTCAGTTATCCTCCATGAAGGAGAAGCCTGATACAAAGAAATACAGTCAGCCGTCCACACCCACCCACCTCTTCCAAAAACATTCCACTAAGTCATTGTACCTGCCAGCAGGGATGCTGGAAATCAGTCAGAGTTGGGGGAGCTGAGGGAAAGTCAGTCTATATAATGCTGGGCAACAGACATGGTTTTTGCATCAATTTGAATAGCCAGGATCATTTATATCTAATAGTTATTATTGAAAACATTTTAATAATAATGCATACCATATTAATTTGTTGACAGGCAAACCAGTCAAATGAGTAGGTGAGTTAGTTAGACTAAGACTAATATTTATCACATGGTACATAATACATGGGAATTAAACACAGTTTCATCATGAGTGATGTATATGTAATTGGTACATTCTAGTAGTTCCAGAGTGAATTGGCCATCAAGCCCAAAGTTAGTGGCAATAACCCTGAAATTGACTTTCATTAGTTTTTTTCCTTGAATTTGTCTCCATCAGAATGTTGGCTGTAATGTGTTCATAATATACATGTAGGGAATGTGTATATTGTATTGCTTTCTGTTTGGTCCATCCTGCACCAAATCTGTCTGTGTGTGTTTCTGTGCTATTCCTGGACATTACTTGTAGTTGTACAATAAAGAGACTCTTTTGAAAACTGTGGACAATTATACTTTCAAGAAATTAAACACCACACAGTGGAAATTGAGAAAATGATTACTCTTGCCATTAACTGTGACACCTCCATTGATATTTGTTATAAAAAAAACACGCTTGAGCAGGCTAGCTGTCCTACTTTCATGTCAGTGGTTGCAGTTATGAGAATATTTTGACCCGACTCCAAAACACTTTGAATGGCTTGTCAAGTGTTCTGTAGTCAAGATACCGTCCAGTATTAATATAATGATATAAGCAGTGAAATTGGAATGTCACTATGCAAAGCTCAAAAAACATTTACAACATTATCAGAGTTACGAAACAAGATAATTATATTAATTAAAACTACAAAAACAGTGAATCTGTTCTTTTCTTACCCACAGAACATCTGGATGTTGTACAGTGTTGGGTCATCCTCTAGAGGAGCCAGCTGCTGGAGACACAGCTGCTCACATCCTCCATTGAAACCGTCAGAGCAGTCGATGCCGATGTGGTGGTCGTAGCACCCGGTCCCATCCTTCATAGGACTCAACCCTGGAGGGCACTGTGTGAGGAATATGTGTTTTTAGATGACTAATGTCAGCAATTACAGCTTTTTACTTCATTTAGGGAGACATTCTTAGAGCTGCCTAAACTGTGCGAAGCTGCCACATTAACGCCGCTCCCAGATGGGACAGGTAAACAGACCCGATAACATCTGTGCCACAGAATGTAAACAGTCAGATTTCTGTTCCCATTAGTGCAGCCTGTGTGAGCACTGAGCTTAGTCTGTAAAAGCTACACATGGCAAGATGGTTCAACAGAACAGTGCAACAGAAGGAGCAATGGTACAGGCTGTTCTTGCAGGTGAGACAAATGCACAGGAAGTGAAAAACAAATTGTCTGCAATCCAAAAGTTGCTTATAATTACGAAAACAAGTCAATTAATCAATAAGACAGACAGAATATATATATATATATATATATATATATATATATATATATATCATAAACAATAAGTGTGATAATCCATTAATCATTTAAGTCATTTATCAATTAAGCAAGGCTGGTTTCAGATTCTCAAAATGTGAGGACTTGTTTTTCTCACATATAATTGTAGATGTAATATATTTGGGTTTTATACTGTAGGTCCATATTGTATACCCAATATTTGGCTTTGGAAAATTTGGAAAATTGTGCACTAAAGTTTAGAGGATTCATCAATGGTAATCTAAATGGTAAGTCAGTAAAGCCATAAAACAAAGCTAAAAAAACGAAAAACAAAAACAAAACACATGCAGTATGAGACAAAAAATGGCAGATTCAGAAAATGTGTAAAAATTGTTATTACCGTTCCATGTGTTGTGGTATTATGTCTTTCTGCAAGACTAATGCACTGCTCCTGCCCCAGCTTTACTCATTAAACATTCAGCCACAGTAGGTCAATTCTTTACTGCATAATCAATACTCAGTTTTCACAAAGGGAGTTTTGAAGTTTTATCTTGTATACATTAGAAAGAAAAGAGCTTTTGCATCGCACTGCCACTTGATTATTTACTGTGACACAGGGGATGACAAGAACAGTGATGAAATGGCAGACAACCAGTGTCATCTATAATGAAACCCTTTTAAAAAAGGATCCTTGTTCTGGCGAGGAGGATGAGGCAATACCGCAGGTTTAAATTTCAATTTCCATTCAATCCAGAGAGGACTGTCTTCACATTTGATGAGAAGAAGAGAAATGAAATACATTAGTTTTGCAATGTGTGAACCAGCAATGGGTGTCATAGATTAACTCCAAGAAATTAATAAAGAAGACTCTAAATGATGAAGGTTCCACAGAGCCATGGACAACATCTTAATTGAAATGCACTCTGTGCTGGGGTGAATTCACAAAAGAGCTGCGAGACCTGACTTCACCCCGGTTCCCTCCCTCAACAGTCTTGTTCAAGCAATTTTTTCAGAGACCTGTCAAGTCAAATTCACATTATGTTTTCTGTCAGCTATTACTTCAAAGGAAATTTTGATGGAGTGCATTTTAACAAGGCACCGGTACCTCCAGAACAACGACTCGGCAGCTGGTTTCCTCTAAGCACTGAGGGATCAGCAACTGCTTATTTTATTATTTAGGCCTACTATATTCATCAGAGGGTCCAGGTGGCTCATTTGGCTAATAAAGCCCCAATGCTTGTTGTGGATTCCAGTCTAATTTTTCTGGGAGGTATAGTACACATTGTTTTTCTGTTAAGCTCTAGTGAATGCTAGTAAAATCATGTCAATTAATCATACATTTTCAGTGGCCTAACTTAACTTCTGGAAGATGTCAACAACTTCTATGAAATGTCAATATGGTAAATGACAATACCAGGTCAGAGTTCACATTTTTTTTTCAACTTTGATCAAGTGGATGTGTTCAGTCAGTGTTCTTTAATTGAATTCATAATTTATCAGATTTTCAATAAATAAACAACTGTTTTTCTTAAAAGCCTGATTGAGAGCTTGACATGGCTTAAAGTTTAAGTCTCTAACCCCTTTAGTGTGGTAGTAAGAACACAAAAAGTTAAATCTGTTGAGAGAAGCACCAATTTCTCTCCATGCATAACTGATGACACTGCATTTTCGATTTCCTCGCCTCCTCATATACTTTTTAGGTTACATGAACAGAAGCTCATCAAAACATCTCCCAGAGGTTAAAAGAAATTTTGATAGTAAGTACTTTTGGCTTTACACAGAGCTAAGGGGAACTCTGGAGGGAGAACAGATGGATTTTAGATGATTCAAGTACTACAGTATATTGATGATAAAGTTAACAAAGACAAGGGTGACGAACGGAATTGGAATTGGCCAGTGAGCTAGTTCAGCCACCACAGTTTCCATTTGTTTGCTGATTTCAAGGAAAGGTAAGGAAAATGGACAAAATTAATGCTTAGGCAGAACTGATTGAATTACTGTAAATAGACCTTACTAGGAACTATGGTCAACAGGCTTACACTTGGCAACAAGAAGGCAGTCCCACCACTCAAAGAAATCCGAACAGCTAATGGAGAAGACAGGTCAAAGCGGGTAGTAGCTTTTCAGCCTGACAGTGACAAAATACTGACAGGCACGTCTAGACAGGAAAGTCTAGCAGGCTATGGCAAAGAGGCAGCACAGATTATCTGGCAAGGTATTGGGGCTAGATAGCAGATATACAGTGTGTATATGGGGGACTAGATAAGTAAATACCACTTTTATTATTGATTGTTGGGAGTTTTGGCAGCTTCCGGCCATGTGGCTGTGACAAATAGTATGCACTAATTACTACTTTGCAGACTAAGGGGGCACTGTCACTTCCATACATTCCCATTCGCTCAGGTGGTTGTGAATTCTCATTTGGCAACAGTTTGTATAACTACTTAACTGCATGAAAAGAAACCAATTGATCTAAGTAAGCCAGTATTACCAGGTAAATGTATAATTGTAATTCACTACTTTAACCCTAAAGATATGTGTTTAACAGTTGATTGTTCTTAAGTAATTGTATTTATATTCAACTTAAAGCTATTGCTTCAGTGAATGTGCTAAATGTGTCTAAAGTATAACTGCCTTGGTGTATATACCTGACAAAGTAAAGACCTTCAGACCAGCTATGTCTGTTGTAGCACTAGTGCAGAATGGGGACACATGTTGAATGAGTGGTCCTTGGTCTTGCTCCTTTGATAAACTGATATTGATTTTGTCACTCTGTGAGTGGCCGTTGTGACAAATGATTTATTACCTGTAATGCAACGAGCATGAGGCATTGAATCTCCTAACACATCTGTAGCTTAGAGTCTTTAAATCTATGGAACCCAGTGTAATCAATGGATGTGTGGATATGTGGTGCAGGCTGAGAGGAATTTGTATTGATGGGTCGCTGCACTGTAGCTTGCCAGCCACAGATAGCTCTAGTTATTGACTGCCATAATAGGCTTCCGACATGCCAGAATAGCGATAACTCTGGGCCATTTTCCAGCTGTCCGTAGGATAATAATCATTAAGAATATGCACCCGCCGGAGTCTTTGTCTGTGGATTGTTATCACTTGAGATTTCCACAAATCTGGTCTATAATCCTGGGTAAATCATTGATAATCCTCTGTATAAAACCACTCCCCAAGTGAGTAGTTCCCAAATCCTTCAAAATTTTATCTGATTAAAAACTTCTCCTGGTTGTTTTGTTTGGAGTGAGACTGTGGCCATGAAAGGTGGAATACTTTGACTCAGCATGACTGGCATAATGAGGAAATAATCCAGATTAAAAAGTTCTTAAAAGTCTTGAAAGGTAAATCTTAGGTGGAGGGAGTGAGTGCAGGTGCTTTCTAAAATCGGGCTTCTTGTTCACATAAAAAAATGTTATTTATGTAAATTCAGGTTATATCCTGAAATATAATCTAAAATTATATGATATCCATATGACATTTCTGAGCAAAAGATAATTAGGTCTCACTAGGAACTTAATGTCTAACAACATTTAACGACATTTGAAAAGGTTGATATGATTCAATCTGTCGACGTAACAAAAATATGAACTTTTAAATCTTGCTTACATTTCACACCATTCTACATTATTTAGAGTTCAAAAGCTCTCTGGGCTCTGAAAACGCTGCATCAACTTCAGATACACTATATGAATAAATCCACATACAATACTTTGCATTGAGGGTTCAAACTGACAGTGTGTTATGTAGCACAATTCAAAAAGCTTTAGGAGAAGAACTGTAGAGAAGTAGAGAACTGTGGTCAGACTGATACACAGTCGCTGACACCAGCAGAGTCCTTCATAGGTCTCAGCTGTGGACTTTCAACCTTTCAATCTCAGGTGCCACATTTACATTATGAAGCCTTTGAGCAACTGACAATGTTCTCAAAGGTAAGATGGTAAAAGAAAAGCCAATTTCCATAACTAAATCAGGTAGGTACTCTTCAGGTAGATACTAGTCCAATGTAAAAGCTAACAGCATATCTTAATAAAAGATAACTTAAACATAACCTAATCCTTGAAAAAATGCAGAGTCACTCAATCCCATGAATTAAACCTAACTCAAAAATGAATTGTTGAAGTAATAACTGTAATACATTACAAATGTTTTAGTGAACATAAATTTGTGCAGTATCTCAAATATTGGTGATGATATGATAAATATATAATTCCAGTTTGTTCCATTGATTCATTTTCATGAGTCATGACTGTATATCATCACAAAAATGTAAGGCTTAGGTTAGGCTAGGTTAGGATTTTTCCATTTTCAGTATATAAGTTTATAAATCATCATGTGCCCAAGTATGCATCCAAATAATTCTTAATGATCTCCAAAGTGTAAATATTTAATGTCAGTCACATAAAAAACAAGTAGACTAGAAGTGGCAGTTACAATTAGATTAGATGATCCACAGAAAATGAATTGGCACAACACAATGATCATAACTGATTCATTTTAAATAGTTTTTTGTAAGTCAGCTGTTTTGACAGAAGAAAACTGAGTAAATTCAACCTTAGTGGTAACATTTGTACAAGTCACCCAAGTTACCTTAACAAATACTTGTAT